ATAGTTTTTGTGTGTGTGTGCCGGAGTCCGTCCCAGGCAGAGAAAGCCAAAACCAAGTTGAGGTAAAATTTAGGTAAACACAACTGAACACAATGTGGTGCGTTAGACGGAAATCCGAGGAGGACATGATTATAGAAGAGCTGGAGGACAACCTGCTGGTGTCGGTGGAACAGCACCAGAGGCTGTTGAAGGATCTGCAGAGAGAGCAGCAGCAGAGGAGAGAGCTGGAAGACACTCATCAGGAAGAGATTCGACAGCTGCAGGCAACACTGCAGCAGGCTCAGCAGGAGATGAAGGCCCTGAACGCAGCGTGTGAAAAGTCTGTAGAAGAGGCCAGTAGCTACCGGTCAATCATCTCTGCTTTGCAAGACCAGAAGCAGGTCATGAAGCATGAGTTTCAGTCTGTGAAGGAGGCCGCGGCTGCTTCAGAAAAGGCGTTCGAAGAGCAGAACAGGCAGAAGGACGCAGTGAACACAGAGCTGCAGAGAGAGCTGGCACTGGTCAAGGCAGAGAACCAGGATAACCAGGGGACCATAGACCTCCGGGAAAGAGCGCTGGCACTGGTGAAGGCAGAGAACCAGGAGACCATAGACCACCTGCGGAGAGAGCTGGCCAAAGTGAAGGCGGAGAACCAGGACGCGATAGACCTCCAGGAGCAAGAGCTGGCAATGGTGAGGGCAGAGAGACTGGAGACCATAACCCGCCTGCAGAGAGAGCTTGCACAAGTGAAGGCGGAGAACCAGGAGACCATAGACCTCCAGGAGCAAGAGCTGGCAATGGTGAGGGCGGAGAGACTGGAGACCATAGACCGCCTGCAGAAAGAGTTTGCAATAGTGAAGGCGGAGAAACAGGAGAACCAGGACACCATAGACCTCCAGGACCAAGAGCTGGCAATGGTCTGGGAGGAAAGAATGGAGACCATAAACCGCATGCAGAGAGAGCTTGTACAGGTGAAGACGGAGAACCAGGAGATCATAGACCTCCAGGGTAGTGAGCTGGCAATGGTGAGGGCGGACATAGACCGCCTGCAGAGACAACTTGCACAAGTGAAGGAGGCAAACCAGGAAACCACAGTTTGCCTGCAGAGAGAGCTGGCAAAAACAAAGTCCGAGAACCAGGAAACCATATACCTCCAGAAGCAAGAGCTGGCAATGGAGAGGGTAGAGAGACTAGTGACCATAGACCGCCTGAAGAGAGAACTTGCACAAATGAAGCCGGCAAACCAGGAAGCCATAGTTTGCCTGCAGAGAGAGCTGGCAATGGAGAGGGTGGAGAGACTGGTGACCCTAGACCGCCTGAAGAGAGAACTTGCACAAATGAAGCCGGCAAACCAGGAAGACATAGTTTGCCTGCAGAGAGAGCTGGCAAAAACAAAGTCTGAGAACCAGGAAACCATAGACCTACAGGAGCAAGAGCTGGCAATGGTGAGGGCGGAGAGACTGGAGACCATACACCGCCTGCAGAGAGAGCTTACACAAGTGAAGGCAGAGAACCAGGAAACCATAGTTTGCCTGCAGAGAGAGCTGGCAAAAATTAAATCTGAGAACCAGGAAAACATAGACCTACAGGAGCAAGAGCTGGCAATGGTGAGGGCGGAGAGACTGGAGACCATAGACCGCCTGGAGAGAGAGCTTACACAAGTGAAGGCAGAATACAAGGACACCATTGACCTCCTCAACTTTCCTGTACTAGACGCCAACAGCTGCATCGACAAGCGGATGCAAGAGCGAGAGTCGGCGCTTAAGACACTGGAGGAAAATCCGGCAAACACCCGGAAAGAGTTAGAGGAGTGTAGCGCCAATATCCTCATGAAAACCTCTGTTATCGCAGAGATGGAGGAGAAGGCCAAACTCAAAGCTGAGAATAGACAGAAGTTGAGAAATGTACATGCTGCGTCAGAAAAAAGACTCACCATGGCCAGGAATAAGAACGTGAAGGAGGTCAAGGCGCTTGAGGTGGTGTGTGAGGAGGCTGTGGAGGAGGCCGAGAGGACCTCTGAACACAACATCCAACAGCTGAGGAAGCGGATCGAGCCAAAAGACAAGACTATCAGCCATCTGACGGAAAGAAAAGGGAGGACTCAGACTAGAGCAATAACCAGAAGACAAAAATATGTGGTGTTTAGGTCAGACCAGCCACCACAGGTCACACTTAAACAAGACAAAGACATGTCCAGGTGTTAAGAAGTACACACCTACACCCTCACCGCCCCCCCTCATTCCCACCACCGATTCCCAACTCCCAATTCCCATTCCCTAAAATCTGACTGTTTTCACAATGACAACAGATGGAGCACTACTGAATAAGCTAGTAGCTTCTGAAAGTTCCATTCTCATAATTTAGCACATGAACTGTTTAGTGACTGTGTGAAAACGTGAATGAACTAAAACAAACTCAAACTAAAACACTCCCACTTCCCAAAACAGATACAAAACCTCTCAAATATCACAGGGAGAACAGCACTATTTGGAACTTAAACCTTAGTGTTTCACAAAACCAGTAGATTTGGTGCATTGGTCCGTCATGATGCTAAAGCTAACAGCTAGTACACTGGTCTCATGGTGTGAGGCCTGGGTACTGCTGTGATGGAGACTGCTGGGAACACCAGGTGCTACTGTGGGGCGACTCGTTGTGCCCTTAGGCAAGACACTTGACCCACTTTGCCTTGTGTGAATGTTGTGCATGTGTGAGTGGCAGGTGCTGCATTAAATGTGAAGCTGTAGTTCAGGTTGAATGCAACAGTCTGTGCGCACCACTAGCACTTTAGTGTCATGACAGGCACTTTATGAACACACCTGAATCGCTGAGACTGAAACACAATAGGATCTAGATCCATAGGGTTCAGCTGCTGTTGACCATGTGATCCTGAGACAAAGATACTGCCATAGACTTTCAATAGAAGTGGGAGTAGCTCAACTCCCCCTCCCCCACCCCCATACCCCACTGCAATACAAAAATATATTAAATAAAATAATAATAAAATAAAAAATAAACTTATTGTTGTCTGTTTAGTTAAAGGAGAAGTAGGCAATTGTGTTGTGTCAATATGAGTCTTAAATAGTTTTATTACATGGCTCCTCACAGCAGCAGTAGAACGCTCCATCGATTTGAATGCAATGTCAAAACGTTCTACCGGTCATTATTTCTTATAACGCTCTCTCTGCGTGTAATTCAGGTGTGTAGATTGCTCTGCAAGTAGTTCCGGCCACTCCGGAGCTAGCCACGCTCAATAAACACAAATACCAATCAATCAACACAATTAAATGTTAATCGGAGAATACACTAGACATATGCATTCTTAATGCACATGCACGGAGGATTTCAGAATTTTCTGTTCAGGTTTTCATGACAAAAATACTATTTTAATTGATTGCAAAAAACCCAGAAGTGGATTCTGGGATATTTTAGGAACATTTTCGGAGGATAAAATGATGGATTTAGGTCAAGTTTATGTTTGGGTCACTTACCACTGATGTTCAGAATTCTTTGTTTAGTTTTCATGCAGTTCCGGAGAGTTCTAGTTTGGGAGTTTCTAGCCGAACTGTTGCTAGCCTAACTTTTACTCGCATAGCCACGGGAAAGCCTTTGGGAACTATTTTATTTTCTGTCATTAAATAAACCTTTTGGCATTCCTAAGAGTGGACTGAAGTTTATTTTGTGTGTTCTGTTGGTACAAAGCCGAATAATAATGTAATAGTACAAATAACAGTACAGATAATGTATAGTACAAAGGTCGTTATCGGAAAATAAGTACCGACAGGGCGGAACTTCCAAAAACAGAGGAATGACAACAAAGAGGCGCGGCATGATGAAGAACCGCATTCATAATGGCAACCTTTAGATCGGTGGAGAAATCACGGATGTAAAAACCGACTAGTCTTACTCCCACAGAACAGGTAAGAGAAAGACTTAAGTTACTTAAGTTGGTAACAGTGGTGGCAGTAGTAGTAACAGTTGTAGGGAATTTATAAATACCTGTTCTATTTGTAATTGATTAAGCCTAATTCTTTTGAAGGGATACATTATTTAAATCACCAGTCTGAGAAGACATAAGACTTTTTCGATGTTATTACTTCAGTCTAATTTCTAAAGGTGTGTGTTCTAAACAGCCAGTGTTAATTTACTAAGATTATAAAAACATGCAACAGCTTTGTTGACTGTGATTCATCTAGGCAACTGTAATCAAATCACATTAATGCAGTAGTTCAATTCCGTAATTACAGTACACTTATATTATAACATTCTAGGCCAGAGTCCTAATGGTCAATGAGGCCCAAAACAAGTCATTAAGCCCAGTCCAAGCAGCTTTGCATAGCCTTAACTAAGAGAAAGAAGCGGTCTTACTTCGGTAGCGTTGCTGGTGGGAAAAAGAGTTTTGTTGTACAGTTCGAAGTGCACACTTTTGCGTCCTGTGCGTTTCTTTACGTGTGCAACCCAGTGATGACAAGGCCAAGGAAAGAGTTCTTCCGCTTCGTTTAAAGACAAAGGTGTGAGGCTTATGGAGGCTGTCCAGCAGATCCTCCTTGAAGATGTCAGGAAGTCAAGAGAGTGAGCCACAGTTTGGTCACGGAGAGACCCTGCTCCCTCTTTTGTCTAGTCCCGCCTCAGGGCAGATCTAGAGCCTGGTAGAGTTATATAGACATCACAGTTATTCACATCACTTATGTTTCACACACAACACAGATGAAATAGACATTACATTCACATTATGAATATTGTCATTGAGTTATTGGGATCAATTTAGTCCATGTCCAGATAATATTTCCTTGAGGATGTGGAGTCTGTTTGCTTCCCCAGGGGGTCAGTTGTTCTTGCCTTTAGCTGACCCTGCCCCATGGCGGTGGCTCCCCTCTCCAGGTTTGACCTCATGGAAAACTCTCCCAGGACTCTGGACGTCCCGGGACTACATGAGGCTGTAAACACTCGGAGCATGTGGGGGGATTAAATAGTTCTCTCTGATTGACTTGTGGCTGCGTCACATGGTCTTACTATGTTTCCCTTCAGGTCTGCAGCTGGTTAGAGGACAGAGGAAAAAGGACAGAGGACAGAGCTGAGAGGACAGAGGAGAAAGGACAGAGGAGAGGACAGAGGAGAAAGGACAGAGGAGAAAGGACAGAGGAGAGGACAGAGGAGAAAGGACAGAGGAGAGAAGACAGAGAAGAAAGGACAGAGGACAGAGCTGAGAAAACAGAGGACAGAGAAGAAAGGACAGAGGACACACACACACATACACACATACATATAGTTATAACACTGTAAATGATTGACACCGTGTCCAAACTGTGAGTAAGCTTGCTTCCCCACCCTGACTCATGTATGGATGTTTAAATAATTCCATCCATCCATCCATCCATTTTCTTCCCATGAATCCATTTCTGGGTCGGGGGAGTGGCAATCAGAGCTGCACCCAGTACACAGAGCACCAGCCCCTCTCTGATCCTCCTGCAGGTGATGAGTCTACAGAAGCTGAGATCTTTCAGTGGGAGCTTCAGGCAAAGTGGGGTTAAGTGTCTTGCCCAAGGACACAACGACAGCAGACATCAGTGGGAGTCGTGAAGTAGGTCTTGTGGTGGGCTCGAACCCACAACCCTCAGGCTCAAAGGCCAATGCTCTACCAACTGAGCCACTGTCGCCCCAAATTGTAATTCCAAATTCTTTATATTCCCCTGTTGCTCTTTGGTGATTGTCGCAGTTTTGTGTCAGACATCTGGGACAGGTGCCCTAAGTTCATACACCTCTCCTTTGAACACAGACGGTTGTGTGTTCTGCTTTTCTCTGGACGCTCACACACTGGCTGTCGGAGGAGTTTGGGGATTCCACATGAGAGCAGAGCTGCTGGCAGAAGTTGTCACAGTGAAGGAAGCGAAGCAGCAGGAGAGAGAGGGGATGTAACCAATCCTACAGCACTGAAAGTTATAGGACAAAGTTGGGTTCAGAAAAGCCTGCTGTGTCGGCATGGTAACCTTTGTACTGCACTCTGAACAATATGGAATCTAATCATGAGGTGCTCTTTGTCTAATCAATCAAATATAATAAACGGACAAACAATACACAGTTTAAAATGGGGTTGGATGGAATGAGCTAATTTGGCTCCAACCAACCTCAATCATTCAACACACAAGACACACACACACACAAAAACTCACACTTAAGCCTCGTTCACACGACCGGATAATTAGGCAAATTTAAGACCCGATTCACTCCTTATGACAATCTTAAAAACGCTCAGATTTTTGTAAAATAAACTGATGGATTTTCCTGCCATGTGTGGTATGTTAAGAGTGCGCTCGTCGCTCAGAAGGACTTTGGAACTGCTTCGATCTCAAATCGGGAATATCTTTCACATAAAAAATAAAATAAAAAAGGCATGACGAGACTAAATGTAGAAAAGTAAATGGGGCATGAATTGTTTTTTCAAGCTACTGTAAGTGCTTGTTATTCATAACAAACCATTTCTTGTACAGACCTCTATGTAATATGTCTTTTGGCACTTGTGTTCACACTCCAGTCCAGTGATGTAGTGTTTGGATTCAGAGAGATGCATGAGGCAACGCTTCTGTTATGACAAGCAGCAATGAAAAAACACTTCTCAGCTTCCACCCGCTATTGACATAGAGCTCCTCTGCCATCCATTCTGATGTGAAGAGCACATTACTCACAGCCAGGGGAGAGCGGCCGTGTTAAGGCCAATGATTAAAGCACGGCAACCTTTTAACTTGTGACGCCTCATTCATATTTCATGATGTCCATCTAAAGAAAGCCTATTCCAGTCCCAGTATGTGTGTCTCGGTAGAATAAGATAATCATATTAACAATTCACATGCATTTCTAGCATAAAGGTGCTTCATTCTTCTGTACACCTCATGACAGTGAATTGGCAATTGTTGTTTTATGAAAAGCTAAATAGAGGAGGCTCTGGGGAACACAGGGAGAGACCTAGGACAAGCTTGAGGGACAATGGCCCTCATTTATGAAACTTGCGCAGAAAAGGGTGTATATTTATGGTGTAGATTTAAATTACGCAAAAACCTGTGCGCGATTTATGAACGTGTGAGATACGCACAGATCTGAGCGTACGCAGCAGCGGTTGTTGATAAATGCTGCGCTAAAAATCAGCGTATTTATGAAAGTCACGCCTAGAAATATTCAAAAACCGCTTGTTTCACGCCCCGTTTTTTCGACAGGTCAGCAGGAAGCCGGCCAGCAAGACTAGTTGGAAGCCTCAAAAGGCCTGTTAGTGATACGCACTGAGTTTACATTGAGTTGTATTTTATAATTTTGTTTAAAAAGAAACATACGCTAATTTATGCATGTGCGTTATTCCCTATAGTGACCCACTGCAGCACTCATCTCTCTTGAACTTTAGAAGTGAATGAATAAATGAATCTGCGGAATCTTCTTGTGAATGTGATGGAGCAATCTCTGTGAGAGAGAAAAGATGCCTATGTTTTTGGGAAGAGTTCGTGATTTCACAGAGAAACTCTGGATCCAAACATCTAACGGTATGTTCACTGCATATGGCGAGTTATGCGGTGGGAGCTCTGTCTGCTGCACACTGCTCAAAGAGCCACTGCCCGTGAGCCCGTTCCTACAGATAAGCGCATTGCCATCCTCTACATGCGGACAGGGCAGTGGCTGAGACAGTTTTCAGTTAGACCATCGGTGAGTTTATGGGGCTTTATGCACAAAACTAATGAAAAATGCATTGAATGAGGCAAAACAAAAAGCCTTGGGTATTTATCAGTGGGGACGGGTCCCGGCTCAAAAGTGGCCAAAATGACGTGTGCTGACATGCTTGCAATACCCCCCCGGGCCGATGGGGGTGGACCCGGAATAAGAATTAGCCAATGCTAACATATAGCTAGCTGACCTCTTGAAAACGTCTTTACAGGATTGTCCAAAAGTTGGCTCTTGGCCCAAAGCTCCGTTCCACATGTGTGTCAATGCTGAGGGGCGTGAATTTTCTTGGACTAGTCTAGTTTTTGAAGTCACTCGTTTAAATTAATTGAGCTTGTGCCATCTGACGCATGCGCAGATGCGTTTTTTCACATTTTCCAGCCCCCGTGGCCATTTTGAATCACTCCATGAAAGCACAATTTTTGGCCCATTTTTTTTTTAAACATACAGATGAAAATAATACACATACATGTTCAGATTTAAAAATGAAGAAACAGAAGAGGGTCCTCATCATAAACGTATCATGAACTACGATTTATTCGAAATTTGCGTGTTTCCAGAGTTTTTATGACGAGCAAATACATACTGTATTTCGAAATGTGACGCTCAATGAAAACACAGCTTATAATTTTGCCAGAGTGGGAACATGTTTATTGTTGTCCAAATTTTGCATTTCATGCGTGTTTTGGCGTGTTGTAATGAAGGTTGAGCGTACACATTTACACCACCTACTGACTTGCCGTACATTCTGTGCGTACCGTACGCCCACATCCAGATTGATAAATGCCAAAAAGTCTAAATTTTTTGCGTACGCCTCATTTACACCCTGATTCGGTCGTATGCAAGTTTCTTAAATGAAGCCTAATCTTCTATCCTCAAAGGATCAGGAATCGATATTCCTCCGGATGAGCTGGAAAATGTGTGGATGGATGTTCTGGAGAAAATGAGCATTTGTGGCTGAATTCCTGTAAAAAATAGTAGGCTACTAATAGCAGGCTATTAACAGTTTTCAAAGTGATGTTGACTTTGAAGACCTCTTCCCTTGTTCTTGAAGTAACCAGCACATGTGCGACTTTGTTTTTTCCTTTTTAATTTCTCTCACTATTCTATTGGCTCTGTTGTATTCCCTTCACAATGACAATCTGGCCCCAAAATCCCAAATCAAACACATGAGGTCCCGGTGTCATCACATTGGATTAGTCGCACATGACAACAGGAGCAGAACACCGAGAGATGAGGGAGAGAATGCATGAAATGGAGATCAGGCGAGAAGGTTATCGACAGAAACACACTTGTCTGAACAATTGGGAATAGTACAACAAATGTGGGTGCTTCTATGTACTTGTTTATGCATGCGTTTGAAAATACCTTGTGTCATATATTTGTTCATATGGATTGAATGGAATGACGCAGTATGTTTATGGCAACAGCCAGACAGAAGAGAAAAACACCAGATACAACATTGAAACAGTATTTGCGTTTAAGAGTTACTGATTTTTGATTTGGAGCATTTCTACGCATTAGAGAATGGAACGTAAAAATATGCTGGCAATGTTTGCTTATGATCAATGAAAATCTCCAGCGTCACTAGTGAGAGCTGAATATACAAAAACCCCATACTGTCACTTCAATGATCTTGCACTGATTTTCCAAAATGTTCTTTGTTGATTGGTTTCACAGTGACAATTTTTCAGCTTATTTTATTACTTATGAACTTGGGGGTATTTTTGCACATGCCTTACTATGTCGTTTTACTGCAAATGGCCGAATCTTATCTTGTCAGTCATGGCTGTTCAAGATCACAATACACCCCCTGACAATCCCTTAAGTCAATAATAAAGAAGCTGACACCTTTGCGTTGAAATGAATGGAAACTCCAGATGTGTGAATATCCGACATAAGAAAGTACATGGGTGCTTCTCAAATAATACATCCCATTTTGAGCTGAGAAATTGCAAATATATTGACACATTATGAAACCGTTCAATATTGCATGTGTATGTATGTGTAGTGTATACTGTAATTAATGTAACAAGTTCCTTCATTTTCTCGAGGGAGAGCTGATGTTTTTGATTGTTTCTAGCCGTTTATTTGACACTACGAATAACCAATAATGCGTCTCCACGTATGCTGTAACCAATTCTTCTCAAGGTTGTATGTCACGTGACAGAAGCACGACAACAAGGGAGGCGAAAATGACAGCTTATGTTTACACAATACCTGACTCTTTCATTTCAATTGACAATCAATTGACAATTACTCACTATATCGTCAAGACCGGACAGACAGAGTGGGAGGGGGGGTGGCTCTCTATGTGGCACAGACATATGTGCATTCTGTTGTTAAACTCTCAACTGAGTCTGAATCACTTCAAATAGTTATTAACATAACAAATCAGCTATCCATAACTGTCATTGTCACATACAAGCCCCCAAATGTTAGTCCTGCCACCTATTTACAGCAGCTGTCTGACATAATTAAATCTGTTAAATCTAAGGAGCTTGTTATTCTTGGTGATATTAACCTGGATTGGTCAGATAATTCCTCCAAATCTCTCAAAGCTACTGCAACTAAATTAGGCCTCTGCCAATTAATTAAAGACCCAACCAGATATGGTAAAACACGTAACTCCATACTGGACCTCATATTTACAAACCAGTCAGCTAAATACGGGATATCTGGAGTAATTAACACCACTGTCTCAGATCATTCACTAATATTTGCCATCAGAAAATGTCTGAAAAAACCAAGATGTCACAAAAACAACTTTATAAGAAAAATACCAATTTCAAAGCTGCCGCAGTTTAATGCTGATGTGGGTAATATTGACTGGAACAACGAGATGTCAACTGCTCACACTGATGACTGCTGTCGTTGTGTCCTTGGGCAAGACACTTAACCCCACATTGCCTGAAGCCCCCCGCTGAAAGATCAAGGCTGTTTCACAATTGACGGAGCAGCCATCTTCCTGTGGACTCACCCCCTGCAGAAGATCAGCGAGGGACTGGTGCTATGAGCATTGGGTGGCAGCTCACATTGCCACCCCCCCGACCCAGAAATGGACAAAGGGATTGAAAATGAAATGAAAATGAAACAACGAGATGTCTTTGAAAAACCACGATCATATCCTGGCTACGTTCTACAATCGATTGGGTGCAATTCGTGAAAAGTATACCACCATTTGTAAGATTCATGTCAGACAAAATAATCTGCCATGGGCAAACGCTGAAATTATGCAGCTATTAAAAAAGAAGGACTCTGCCCTTGAGAGGTACAGAGCTACTAAGACCCCTGAGAGTAAGATCTTTTTCGCACAGGTCAGAAACCAATGTAACTCTGAGCTGCGTAAAGCCAAACAAAGATACTTTGAAAAACAAATTAAACTAGGTGCGTCTAATCCAAGAACACTATGGCACACAATTAAATCTATAAATGGCGAAAGTAAAACGAAGAACTCAAGGAGCTTACAAATTTCAATCAATGGAAATCTCACGGATCATGATAAAATTGCAAATGCTTTCAATAACTATTTTATTCAATCTGTACAGGAATTATCTTCTAAATTTACTCTACCTCAATGTCTTCCACTAGTGTCAAGCCATGAATCTCAAGGATTTTCCTTCTCTGAAATTACACAAAATGATCTTATCAATACACTCCACTCTCTTAATGCTTCACGTGCCCGTGAAATAAATAATCTAGATATACATTTTTGGAGAACCCATGCCATTACCTTACTACCACTATTTCACCATGTTATAAATCTGTGTATCAGGCAATCTACATTTCCTGATACCTGGAAAATGTCCCAAATTACTCCCATTTTCAAATCAGACGATCCTACCAATATCTCAAATTATCGCCCAATTTCAGTCCTCTCAAACATTTCTAAATTACTTGAAAAAACACTAAACACCCAAATTGTGGATTATCTTGAGACTAACAACCTACTCACAGACTCCCAACATGGTTTTCGACCCCAGCGGTCGACAATGTCCGCACTGCTCTTGTTCACTGAACATATACGTGCTTCCCTGAACAAGGGACACACCATGGGAGCGGTGTATATAGATTTCCGCAAAGCTTTCGACACGGTCCATCACCTAATTCTCCAAAATAAGCTTCACTCTCTCAATTTCTCGTCACATGCCATAGATTTGATTATTTCTTACCTAAAGGATAGAACACAGCTCGTAAAGATAGGGTCAGTAAAATCTAGGCCGCTGGGCTGCTCTATGGGAGTACCACAAGGCAGTATTCTGGGCCCCCTGCTGTTCCTTATATATATAAATGATCTCCCGAATGCTGTAAACCATTCACAATCGCTGCTCTATGCAGACGATACAGTGAATTTTGTATCTGGCCCAAACACAGAGGTCATTAATCAAAAACTCAACTCAGATTTAAAGTCTTTACATGGATGGCTTCAAGACAATCATTTAACTATTAACATTAAGAAAACAGAATGCATGTACTTCCACTCACCATGGAGACAGCTGTCCATTTCCAACCCCCTTGTCATTGCAAACAAAAACTCTCAACTGCTTTAAACTACAAATACCTGGGGGTAACCCTTGACTCTCACCTTACATACAGTGTCCACATACAAAACCTCACCAAAAAGTTAAACCAAAAACTGTTTGTGTATGGTAAGATCAGAGCATGTTTGTCATTACCCGTCTCAAGGACATACCTGCATGCCATCATACTCTCTACCCTGTCCTACTGTCTCCCAGTGTGGACGCTCACAACTAAGGAAATACTAGAACCTGTGGCGAGACTCTACAATAGAGCATATAAGATCCACCACAGGCTCCCTGGTTGGACCCACCACTGCACTACTCTATCACAGTCTGGGGCCTTGACTTTCCAGAACTACGCCCTGAGCCATGGGATTAAGCTCTACTTCCACCTGCTCAACAACTGCCCATCGGCCTCACTGTCTGTTCTGGTTCCAAGACCCAGCTCTCGATCCGAGCGTTCAACCAGATCCACCACAAACCAAATCTTACCCATACCTCACCACAGGAACACCTACGGACAAAATTCATTCTTCTGTGAGCTCACCAGGGCCTGGAACAAGATCCCCCTCACCATAAGAACCATACAATCACCTGGACCTTTTAAAAAGACTATGCTGAAACATCTGACGGACAGCTATCGTTGTGACCACTAGTGACGGACACTATAGCCTCACACCAGTGTGTTCCTTCTTTTATGTGTGACAGTATGTTTTGTGTCGAGTGGTGATGTTAATGCTGTGTTTGTGTGTTCTGCAGAGCAGGAACCTGCTGAAAATCAGTTTGTACTGAGCCAGGCCCGATTTTGTTTTAAATCTTTCCTGCCTAATAAATAAAATGAAATGAAATAAAATAGTACCAAACGATTACTGTTGTTTTATGCGGGTAAAACATTTGGGAAAATAGCCTGCTGCCGTCTGGATGCGTGCTGTGATTGGACACCAAATCCTTGTTATCTAAATAATTACACCCAACAAGGCTAACCCTGCAGCAGGGGATTCCCAGGCTATGAACATTTACAAAAACAAAAATTAAAATGTCCATGCCAACAGCATTTGAAACCTGAAAAAATACTTACAAATTACCTTTGTGAGATATTTGAATACTTACAGCATGTTTGAAGACATTAAATTGTAGTTAACTGAGAATATTAATATTTATTGATTTTCATTCAATTGCAGTAAGCCTCCCAGTCAGACTCCTAATGAGGTAACAGCCAACTTGCTCCTTTACTTTCCTGGCTCTGTTGAAGTTGGGTGAAATGCCTGACAGATTTTCTTATGGGGATTTGAACCATTGAAATCATGACCCAGACTTCTCATTCTGCTCAACATTCACTGAGCCATTTATTTTGTAATCATATATTGTATGTGTGTTGCTTTGCTCACGGTTGAACCTAGCCAATTAGATACCCAAACCCAGTGTTGCATGCAGAAGTGTTTACTGCCTCCAGGTTCATTTGGAGCTCTCAGTGTGGGAACGGGCGCTGAGCTGCTGTTTTGTGGCTGTTCAAAGGATCGACATCACCAGGAGGGCTGTATCCCGGGGTTTAAACTCTACAGTTCACCATTTTCTGGCTCTTGTTGCTTCATTGTTGCCAACCACTTGTCCTTTACCATCTCATGAGGGTGTAATGTCAAGACATGAGCGGCTGAGCTGACAGGCCAAATAATCTGCCCTTGCTATGGGAAAAAAATGAGGCTTGGTGAATCTGGACATAGTTTGTGAGCATCTGGGATGTAGTTGGAATACTATTTTTTGTCCACTTATTATTTTTCTGGGATGATTTTATGGCCATGTTTTACAGTACGATTTCTTCCTGGAAAAAAAAAAGGTGTCACACTATCTGGCAAAGCATAAATCCCTTGAGACGAACAGGTGGCGTTTCTCCATATCACGTTTCATAAAGCGCTTCAAGCCAAGACATATTTAGGCCTTCAATTCTAAGTCTGATTACAATGCACTCCGTCTGAATCTGTTACAAATAAAATAAAATAAATACAAGAACCTAGTTATTATTTTTGTATTACTTGCATGTGTTATTGGCCTCAGCCACATCTTGTTATAAAATACTCAAGAAGAGAGGACCACCCTACACAGCCCTATCAACTCTCAGCCCAAAGAGTTGAGTGACATACAATACAATACAATTTAATCTTGTATAGCCCTAAGTCACAACAGAAGTCATCTCAGAGGATTTAACAAAACCGTTGAAATCACCAACACAGGTCAGAGAATCAACAGTTAAAACACATGAAGAATATAAAGCACACAGAGAAGAAAATGTCCATACATGTTGTAGAATGCTAAAGTGTCCTGATCATCACCAATCCTTTCTGTTAGACACTAACTGTCCAACAAGACCCTCCTGCATCGACAAGGAAAAACTCTTAAAAAACCCAGTGGGAAAAAGTGAGAAACCTTGGGGAGAACTAGGGAAACCCACAGGGAGGGAGACCCATATGAGAAAGGGATCCGCTCCTCCGGACGGACAGGCTAATGATCTAGGACCTAAGCTAGCTACAGAACGTGGACCAGTGGCCGCTGAACGTGGACAGGTCCGGTGCAGGACCGAAGCACTCCCAGGCGGGTTGGGCGGGGCAGTCCGCAGGTGCAGATGGAGGAGGCCAGGCTCAGCGATCCCGTCATCATACCATGAAACAGACAATGGGACAACGGGTGAATAGCAATGAACAAACTACAGTCAAAATCCTAATAATGCTAAACAGGTAAATTAGGAAGGAGGAGAGGATAGTGCTCAAGTTACCATACTTCTCCCAGCAAACTGACTCCCTGTGCAGCTTGACTGACAGTCTGAGGAGTTTAGCCTTCCCTGAGTCTTACCTTCCTAGCCATATGCTAAACTAAAGAGGACTGTTTTAAACCTAGTCTTGAATAAAGAGAGCGTATCTCATTCTTAGTACGTAGCTCATTCTTAGTACGTAAGCATGTAATAAATACAATATAAAACCTATTATTAATAAGATTCGTATGTTTACTTCTAAAATTGAATACATTCTAAAGGTTAAAGGAGCTAGAGGGCAGATCAACTGAGAAGTTCTTTATACAACAAATAAACAATGCCTGTCTAACAAGAAGGACTGTGGTGATGGTCCAGGACACTTTGACATGTATGGACATTTATCAACATTCATAAACATTGGTCTCTCCCTATGGACCAATACGTGTTCTATATTTTTTCTTAACAGTTGATTCTCTGATCGGTGTGGGTGATTTCAATGTTTTGTTAAGTCCTTTGAGATGACTGCTATTGTGATTTAGGGCTATACAAGAACAAAATTGTATTGTATTGTTCTGTCACCAAAACATAATCCCTGAGGTCAGATTGACCCCAAGGACCAAATGTGTTCTTTGAGCATGATAGTTAAACAAAAAACGTGGTACCCCAGCTTGAATCTTCTGTGCTGCAACATTGTTATATGAAGGACATTTTAAAACTAGAAAATGACAAAAACATAATTCTGATTTCCTTTATCCTGATAGACCAGTGTCTCCCAAAGTGGGGTCCGCGGCCCCCTGGTGGGCCGCGAGGGTACTGCAGGGGGGCCGCGGGAGGTCATAAAAAAAAAATATATATATATATATATATATAATTATTTAATGTTAAATTTATAATGTTTTGTTTGTAATATTAAAATATTTGTGTTCATTATTTGACTTGAATAATCCACTGTAATCATTTTTGTATTACAATGTTTGTAGCAGAGGCTATTTCCCCAAAATAAAATAACCAGAAGAGCCTATTCTTAATGTTGTCTTCTTGGTTATTATTTTGGGGGGGCCACGCAGACCCGTCAGATTTTTAAGGGGGCCTCGGTGTTACTGAGTTTGGGAATGGCTGTGATAGACAAAGAACCCCAGACAATGTCTGCCGATAGCGCATCTGGCCTTACAACTTTGATCATTATCTGAGGAAACTGCTTAAGATAAGAGTGGTATCCCTGTGCCGTCCAAAAAACAAACAGCCCCAGACAAGTCCCTTCTCTTTCCTTCCCTTCCTCCCTCCCTCCCTCCCTCTCTCCCTGGCACAGTCTGGGGAGGCCGCCCGGATGAATGGCTCAGCTGTCCGGTATTGACAGCAGGATTGATGGAGGCTGATACCCAGGTGACTCATTTGACCACAGTCAGAAGAGACCTCTCTCAATGCCCAGGCCCAAGGAACACACCAACAAATCCATGTATGCACCACAAGTCTCGATTAACTTTGCATAAATTAGCAATTAAATGAGAGACAGGGGTGTATTTTTGCATATAATTACTCACTCGTTATTACATGTCAATTAAAGAGCAAGAAAATAATCAGAATCATTTTTATTGCCACGTAAGTAACAAGTTACCACTTGGAAATTGTTTTGGCAGAGAGCGTGCCACTTCGCCATTTGCGGCGCTGTGTATAATACTTGTGTTGTTAAGTTCACTTTTAGAGTTCATGCTTGACTGAACCAAAACTGGACAAAAAGTGAAAAAGGGTTTTTCACTGCAGACTGGATAGGACAATTATTTTTTGTGTAAATTGTGCCTAAGGTTCAGAAGTTTAGAATAGAATGATGTGCGGTTGTTTCTTTGAGATTATTAGCTTTAAAATTGAATCAATTTTATCAATTTTGAAAACCAACCAGGGGTCCACGCACTTGTTTTCCAACAAAAACACTTCCATCAAACAATCCATTAAACATTAAATTCCTCTCTCTTCCGCACTCTTTTTAGTCTGGAGAAGCAAATCTAGAGAGGACCACCCTCACCCAGCCAATCACTGTTCAGCCCAAAGCATCAAATAGTGCCTTGAAGGGCTTTTTCCTACAAGTGCATCCAGGAGATATACATATTTGTTTCTAGTACTATACTGACAGCATAGTGTGGTCTGATTTGTCCACTGTTTTTCCTTTTACAAGACTTTGTGTTATGACATGTTATGAAACCGTATCCTGAACCAAATTTAGGCTAAAACCAGTTTCAACATGTTTAGGCTATTAGGAGGAAAAAAAAAAATCAAATGAAACAGCGATGTTTTACCTTTTTCAGTGTAGAAACACATAAAGAGGAGCACGAAAGTTTAGGTACCTATGTTTTTGTTAATATTTATATATTATTATTAATAGCACAGTTCATACACAAGACTAATCATTCAAAGTGCTAAACACAACAAGATAGAAACAATCATGTGAGGTAATAATAATAATAATCTGCATTATGATTATTATTAATAATCACAGTACTTTAAAAAAAAACCTTTTACACTCAAGCCAATTTAGTTTTCTTATTTACACCAAATTCAGAAAAGGCAGACATTTAGATTGAACTGAATGCTTTCTGAACTTCAGGTCAATGTATAATCTTTATTGTGAATGTTTACTCTAATTTTATTAAGGAGTCCAATGTTTCATTTATTACAGTGTACCTAATTTGCAGATTCCGAATGTTTATCACCGGTAGATACTGTGTGATGTTTGCAAAAAAAAAGCATTATCCTTTTAT